GCTCTTCAGCTAAAGCTCATACTACTTCACGCGATGGCGAACATCTAATCACTTTACCCTTAAAACTGTTTATGTCACTTTCCATAAAAAGGGTAAAGAAAAAAGAGAATGGCTTAACGAAGAGATCTCGCTAACTAAACTTGTAAAAATGATACTCATTACATTACTAATTAATCAAAACTAAATCAAAAATTCCAAACACCTTTCTCAGAGGCAGAGGCTTACGATTAAAGTAAAATGTAATACTATATGCCTAAGCGGTTAAGGTGAAATCGTGGTATAAAAATAAGGTAAATATTGTGATAGATGACCGCTAAATGAAGTACATAGGCCCTATCTAAATTATTGAAACTTCATTAGCTGTAAGTATTTGATAGCCCGGGGCTTCATAGTGACGTTGTACAGTCCGTAAGTGACCTTGAGAGGGAGAGGCCTCGAGTGAGTGATTGGGTGAAATATACACTATATACTGTACATCTGCATGCACAGTGTATATACAATGTGCATTATAAATTACGCATCGAAAGCGCAGTGTAAGAGCTTTCTGTACAATAAATTCACCCGGTCTAAGTAACAAACAATTTTCTTTTTCCCCTTGTGAGGCGTTCAAGTGATCAACAATCCAATATTTCTAGTAACTGTTCTAATATAAGTACGCGTCTGAGGTTGCCCGGATTGACTAGAAAAACAGATATTGTGTGTATGTCCACATTATCTGGTGAAAAAGAAAGACGCGGTAGAGTATCAGGCGCACGTTAAGTAATGGATTCTGTGAGGGGGTTAGAGTATTGGTCATGTTTATCGTCAGTTAATATGTCAATAACGTGTGATCCGTGTAAGCGATGTTGAAATGAACTGTGATTACAGGGCTAGCACACGAAAGGCAGAAGTCAACGCAGTGTAGAATGTAACCTCTTAGACTATCGAGGGACACATTTAGTGAAGAGATCACTGAACCGTACTTTCAGTGCGACTATTTGTACTAAAATAAACACGCAATCTTTCTTCAGAAGGAGTCACTAAGTTGACACCTCTTGAAATCTGTTCCTTTTTTGATACAAGTATAAATTGGAATTTCTACAGTAAAGAAAATATGCATTTTGTACCACAAAATCTACACAAAATTTTCATTTGGTTTTAGATTATAATTACAAAACAACGTTTCGGAACTAGAAGCCTTTTAGTTTAGTTTATTCCTGTAATAATAAACAAATGGCGCACATTCCCCTGTGTACTCTGAAGCCGAGGGTCCTATTTCCTCTGGCTGTGCCCTAGCTACGCTTTGCAGTTCACGAGGGGTTGTGCTCTGTTTGCTTTATTATATACTGATTAACCAACAAGGTATAAATTAAAGCCTTTTGGTTTTTATTCGTTACGTGATTGATAATATATTATTTAAAAATTAGAATATATAAAATACAAAAAGATCAAAAACAATCAAAAGTGCTAAAAATATTTTTTCAGATGTGATGAAAAATAATCACAGGAAGATAAGTTTGATGTATACCACTTGATGTAGAAATATTATGTGACAAGCAATATTTGAACAATCATCATCAGCTGGTTACCATAGTGCATGAAAACTGACCAATCAGATGCCTAGAATTCTAACACAGGAATAATAAACGGTGACGATAAAAGCGTAGTATACAGTGTAGATAACAGCAAAATGAATAAGAAATTAAAGCTTGAAGGAATATAAAAATGCAACGCTACAAAAATTCATTTTTACATAATAGCTCAAAGAAAACTTGGAGTCCATGAACATAAACTTTCGCTTGTCCATGTTAGAATGCCTGGAAGCATTTCCATTTTCGTACTATTCTGAGATGTTACATTCTTTGTTTTACGCTTGAATAATCAATCCTTGAAAAACACTCGAGCATTAAGTACGCCTGGAACCAATTCCAATTAGGCTTTGTTTGAGGTGTCATATTCTTTATTTTACGCCAAAATAATCACATTTTCCGAAACAATCCCATTTACTAATACGATTTTCCAAATACGCTCACAAAAAATAACAAAATTTTCTTTTACCTTAGAGTACTGAAATTGTGTTATTTGGCAGCATATCTCAGAATAGCATATCTTTTATCTCTCCTTAAGTCCAAAATAACTTGTCTAGATCTGGTTTTGTAGGTCTGATAACTAAGATAATAGCGATGCATATCTGCCATAATATTTCCATGGCCTTGAGATAACTGCTATCAGCAACGGTAAATTTCGATCTATTAGTGATACACGGATATCAAAACAAATTTTAGCATAACTGCGCTAAAACCATCATAAAATAAATCTGTAAAAAATAATAATAATGAATAAAAAAAATGAACATTCAGCGATCGGGCGTTGGCTCCAACAATTCTTGAAGTGAGCAGAGAACTAAGATTCTCTTCCAAGAGAAAAAAAAAACACGACCCATCGATGAACGAACTATGTACAATGCATCAACGGGCACGTGTAATGTAATCTTCCTAAACCGGTTAAGGTGCAAAATACGTCACCAGGCGACCATATTTTAAATGAACCGGTGCCAGTAATTCAATTTGCTGGAACCTTCTTCTGTACCAAAGTCACGAGAAGTGGAATTACTTGGAAAGCAGGTTTGGGGTGATGGCATTGGCGGAGGGTTAGGGTCCCAAATGGCAAACGGGGTAACATAAGAGAACCAATATGTATGCCAATTAACGTAATTTTGCTGCATATTCCTAGACCAGTACCATTATAGGCTTTACATCGGCCATGTTTGGCGTACTCGTGAAAGAACAAAATGTAGAAATATGCCATTGCCAATATGTTATGTTGTTTTGCTTTCTTTTTTTCTCTCTTTTTTTTTTAGCTATCCAGGGACTCAAGTGTTAAAAGCAATCTAAATATATCTTATTGCTAGGAAATCTTGCCCAAAAGCAAGTGAAGTTTGCACCCTAGTGGTTCGATAGATGCAATGAAGCAATGTCTCATTTCCAATAAAAACAGACTAATTTACAAGGCCTGGGCTCCAAATATTCGGTCTTTCACATATGGGTTTGGGTTTTCAGCATTTGTTAGCCTAAAGCAGCTTCTTGGTCGATCACTAAATTCGAAAAAAAGTTCCAAGAAGCGTGTCTGCTGAGTCCTAAAAGCCTCTATAGGCTGTCTAGGAATCAGAACGACCAAGTCGCACTAAATCAAATTAATACTAAAAATTGATTTTATAAATTATATTAGTGGCCTTCTTCGCCGTCGTGATTCTTTTAGAATCAAATCAAAGAAAAATAACAACTTTTTACTCAGGGCAATCATGGTAATTTTACTATTATATTGTTGGTTTGCTTCCAAATCGTGATGCGGCAAGGATGGACTGGTACAATAAACAAACTAAGCAAGATGAACTTCGTGATGAGCTTCCGGAGACCTTTTCTTAAAGCGACGCCTACAAACCGAGAAAATTGCTCTTGTGTCACTTCACAGAACATTACTTGGCTAATGTTGACAATTCGCTGCATAACAACATATTATGCCAGTTTCAAATGGGCCATTTGTTTGGGCCAAAAATAAAAGCCCTGATTTTCAGTCTAACGTGTACATGCATGAAGTTATACAGAACTTATGCAACCATTTTAAAAGACAGTAGAAGGCATGCGCTGGTAAGTATAAAAAGCGGGATCACCGCTGTAAATTATAAACAAAATTGGCCTGTTTTAGGTAACGAAAAAATGTGTACGGCACCAGCTATGGTGTTAAGCATCTGATGGTCCACGTAACAGAGTGTTTGCCCCCCCCCCCTCCCCTCCTCTCCCATTAGATTCTTACAGGTTAGGGTTAGCATGATGTAATGATGTAAAAGGATCCTTGGCAGGGCTTACCTGTAAAAATCGATGGGAAGCGGGGCTTGTATCTCTAGGGACTCGTAGGCCTACATGACACCGACTTCAGACAACGGAGACGAGAATATGTGCAGTCAATACCGTACCTAAAGATAAAAGGAGACAATCCGCTGAACGCCAAAAACATTGACTAGCTTCCTATAGTATTATTATTTTTTCTTTTGTCTTCTCTGGAGCTCCGAGCTCGTAAAATCTTCAAGTCAAAAAGACACATTAACTATCGACGTGACGTCAAATTGCATATCATCTTTATAATAAAGATTTTTTACCACATAAATCGGCGAGTTTTAATTAGTCAACTGAGAGCAGTTTGACGCAGTGTCATCCTACAAAGTAAATATCAGTCTTTTCATCTGAGACCAGTCTTTTCAACATCAATTATTTACTGAACAAGTGAACGGCAATTGAAAAAGTTTATACACAACGTAACGTGCCATCTCGTGCCAGCATGCAGCACGCTCTAATACTGACGACAAACACAATCCCCTTTGTCTAAAATCCCAGGGGTGTATCACTGGCGGGGAAAACATGAAATTATTTTGAAAGCGCTCTCATTTATTATTGCCACGGCCAGGTTCACCTGAGCTTATTTAATATTTTCAAAAACCGTGCCCAGTCGTTCTTTCAAAATATTTTATAAATATTGGATTGTCCAGCCAAAAATCTCGCCACGTATCTCTCCATTTCTATTCAACCTCTTCCTTCCCAATACCTTATATACCTAAGCAAAGGCTTTAGACATTTTAGTCATCATTCAACCAGTGTCTCGAGTCTAGACTATGAAATAGTAAATTAATCGGTGTGCTTTGGTCCTATTCCCCTGTCTTGGTTAATTAAATAATGCTGTAAAACACGCATACATCATTTGTCTTTGCATTAGCCCTGTCATATTCCAGACGCCCTGCATCTCCAGTTTATGTCTTCGAGATTTTTCTCGAGACATGACAAAAAGCAGCACGAAGAATTCTCTCTAAACGTCGTTACTGTTACGTATGTATCAATTGATATCAAAAATGATCGGTTGTATTAATCACTATTTATCATTTCTAAAATTGTTTTGGCAGCACCATCAGTTTAAATAACAAACAACATATCTGTACATGTGAAAACACACGTTCAATAATCGTATTTATTGAATAAAATGGAAGAACTTATCTAACAAATATTCTATAAAAAGTTTTAAATGTGTTTTTTTTTTTCAATTTTTCTTTCAGTTTAACTCTCTTAAAATCTAGCTATTCCGTCAAAAAATTATTAACTGCTCCGCAACATCACAATAAAGGAGGCGTCATGATCATCAGCCAAGAGGGACTCGTATCTCTGAAAAATACAAATTTTTAGTCTTCTTTTTCACTTTGCTATTCGTGGAATAGCAGATGGTTAGGGAATTAAAAGAATAGAATAAATAACTGTCACCTTATGCCAATTACTCAAACACCCAGCGGCTACTCTCTGAACGCAGGGTTTGATAAGTACTCTATTACAAAACTATTGTATCTTTAATTTTATATATTAATATTTCCCAGGCATCAGAGGGTACCCATCGGCCGTATCAACACATCGTGAGTAAGGAAATTTAACGTTTTTTTTTTTTTATTTTTTAAACAAGTCATCCCTTGATCGCATCAATCTTGGGACACATACAACAGATAGCAGTTCTAACAGGTTAACTGGTTTATGGACATTGACCTCCACTGGCCTCCGAGAAACTCAAGTGCATTTTCAAAGTTCTGCCAAGTTCTAAAAGTCGCTCCATCTCGGCCTTGAATTTCCTTTCTTCTCTGGATACAATCAGTTCACGGATTTCCTGGAAAAAACACCCACACAGTAGACTGAGCTGTTTAAAAAACGGATTTACTAAATAACAGCTCTGTTTTTAATTCGTTTTTCTCTAAGGCACCAGCTTCGACCGACTACAAAATGCACAATGCAATCAAATTACCAGTAATTAAATATCCTGGGAAAAGCAAACTCGAACTGCCAGTCTTATACAAAATTTAAGCTGATATACTGTTTACACGTAATCAATGCTATCAAATTAGACGATTATCCTTGAAGCTTCAAACTAATACAAAACAATCCAAGTGTCAATTATGGTTTTTGTTAATTGCCTAATTGGCAAAGATGTGTAGTCTCTTTGGAGCATACAGACCATACAAAGAAGAAGGCCACCCCACCCCCCCTCCAGAGAATTTCTCTTAAAAAATCAAAGGCAAGGCACACTTAGCCCCACAGATGTATATTTTGTGTACTCATTATTGCTTGGTGGAGGATCTAAATAAATAGGGTTTTGTATGCGTAATTTTTTTCCTCATCCAAATAGATAATGTGGATATAAACATTGTCAAAGTGATTATGGGAAGATGATGTTGCATCACAAAGACATTGGGCGAATTAGCCAATTCCAAGCTGATGACATAACAGCAGCAGAAGATTGCTTTCAAACAGATATTCCTCACCCACACAACAACATTATAACACCTATTAAATCACAACATGACTGCTAGAATCTGGTGCCAGCTAATTTTCTTGAAAGGCTTACTTCTGATTTTATCAGGGAAGTGGTGAAACCCTTTGCATAATGGATAAGCTTAATTAAGGGCTCATATCTCCTAAACAGAAAGAGTCCAAACCACAGGCTGGCACTGGATTGTTGTTCAGACCTATATCACCACCCACAATAGTATTTTAATATCTTTTAGGGTGCATTCCCATAGATTTTGGAGTCTCACTAGATTACTGTCAGATAATCTGACTTAAATGTCCTGCCCGCTACTACAAACTGTAAGGGGGTAATTAACTTTCGTGCCCGCTCGGCCGACAGCTATTTGGCATGAACCCCCAGGGAGTTAGTTCAATCTAGTTGGGAATGGGGTCTTAGAGTTACATTAGAAACTGATCATTACATATATCACACAAGACAGCAAAATGGACAATAAACACTTGGCCACCCTATGCACAGAAACAGCTGGGGTAGAGATTTATAAAGCAATAAAATAGGGAGTTTGTGCTCTAAAAGTTAATAGTTCTAATGCAGTTATATTAAGATAAGTATTTCACATAAAAGAAACAGAGGGCCGGGGGGGGGGGGGGGGGGGGCCTTTATAAGGTATCAAACTCCCTTGCGGCAGCTCTCCCTTTCTCAACATCATTGGCATACCTGTGTGTATAAAGACTTGGTTTTCCCTTCTACCCTCAAGAAACACCTCTCGTCTGAGGTCAGAAAGATATCCCCAGCTTTGGACAGTCTCAACTCTGGAAATAGGACAACAATACAAAGATTAGAACCAATTGCAAATAGTGATTAAAATTGCATAGTTACGTATGTATCTATCACTTTCATAATGATAGAAGTCAAACATTTGGTAGAATATCATCAGATATAAAATGATAAAATGTAAAGAGGGAAAACCAAAATCCAACAGTGAAAAAAAAAAAAAAAAACTTGCATCAGGTAAATGACCATTGGAGTACATAGTATTAGGCCAGTAATCTCCTAGAGGAGTTCTCACTGAAAATGAGGAAACTTTCACTCACTTAGTTGACTCAACTTCAGAAATGGAATATAATCCACACCTAATTTTGATTCAGAGCCAACCATTTTGGCAGCGAAACCGGCCCTGAAACCCCACCTTGCACTGTGCCTAAATATCTTTTTAGCAGAAGATTGACAGTAGTAAGTAAAAGACCATGTACCATGTATCTGAGTCGCACTCTTGTCACTAAAATACAAGACGGTATTTTCCATGCTTGTGATGTTAAGATATCCTAAATCTTGAAAGATTTCCCTGCTGACTGTTATAGTAGATATGACACCATGACATGGGGAGAAAATTCACAAATTTGAAACCAACAATTTTCCACCGCTTCTCCCAAGTGAAATTGAAAGTGGTTTCTTTAAGTACTTTAGCGTCCACATTCCAAGTGCATTAATTATCCATGACAATGGATGTGGAACAGCACGGATCACCTTTTTAAGAATTTTTTCTTGAAACATGGACTTATCTGATGTACAAAAGTCTCCAGTCTGTTTTCTTTAATCTCAACCATTACAGGGTCATTTAACTGGTTAGCCATGTCTCTTTTCTGTTTTCACCATTATCAGTCATTTATTCAACCAAATCACCAGGACTTCAAAGACCCAGCCCTGAACGTATCCACGCACCTATGACACAGAAGTCTTTCACTGGTTTCCGTGTCTGTGGGTTTTCATGGCCGTCTGACTGAACCACCTGAGAATACAGCACCTCAAACATGGCGTGGCTCACTACGGGCGTGAACCTCGTCATGATGTCATCCAGTCCGACGCGCAGACGGTCTCTCTCATCACGGGATATCCTGATTCCCTGTACCAGGCTGTTTGCGTCGATGCCAAAATAAATATGGCCCCCTTTCCCTGGAAGTAATTAAGTTATTTTCCATATATGTAACCTGTAACACAAGTGGGACTTTACCAAATCTGTTGTGGTGATGTCGCCAGCCAGTGTTTTAGCTAGTGATTGTATTTATAGCTTAACGGTGGCTTCATCTACAATTGGAACATTAAAACCATGATAATGAACTAACTTGAGAATTTTGTCACATGATATGCAGTGTTGATCATGAATGTGAATTGCTGATGAAATGCACAAGGTAGCTATGTGGTGCATATGGAGCTGACAGAACAAATTTTTATTAACTTCATTTCATTAATGTTAGCCTATGGAGCTTGAGCTTCTTTTTTTTTTTCTATTTTTTTTTAATTGCTGCATGGAGGTACAGGAAGAAATACATCTAGATTAACTCTTATCTTATAATTATCTTTGATTTCCACCTAAGAATTATTAATAGCCATGTTTAATATAGCTCATAGTTCTTGACAGTCTCAGAGTTTTCACATGCTTGGACAAATACCTCTTAGTTTCTGATCTACATTAAGATAATGCAATGTGGTATTGCATCTTATAAGGTACACATTGGCCAGTCAAATTGATCAGTTGGTTAAAAAGTGGCCACTTTTGTTTTTTTAACATGTGATACAAAAGGTAAAAAAATAATAAGGTTTCCTCAAAGTGCGAGTCCCTCTTCTTAACCAATGTTTCAGTTTTGTCTGACCTTAGCCTGTGAGAGCTACTTTCTGCGTTGTCACTTGAGTTTAAATGTGCCACAATCAGTCTTTCACTGATATGTCATATGTTTTGTATCAATTTTTCATTTCTTACCTTGATTCATAAAACCACAGATCAGTTTCTCAACAGTTTTAAACATCACTTTTTTCACGTCTCTAGTACTCCTCAACTCATGAAGATCATCTTGCTTGAAGGAGACTTTCTGACCTGGAAATTGTCTTAATAGTATTAGCACTTGTAAAAGTTTTTAAGTTCTACATATTAAAGACCTACAGCAAAACTAATTACCAGATATCCTGATAACTTTGTCAGGACCACTTCACATTGTTAATTTTCAAAGTTCAAAAATGAAATTATTATAGCTACAGATATGTAACTTTATGTCTGTTCGCAACTGAAATCATTGTCTCAAGAGATAAATATAATATTTTAATATATTTTATTGGTAATCTATTACTTGAAGGTTCTTACCAATAATGTTAATATATAGTGATTTCCTCAAAATTTAAAAAACAGAAAAATAAATGTTTTCTGAATATCCATCAAATAATGTATTAAATGCTCCTTACCTAATATATAATAGTTCTTTTCACTGAGCTCATACAAGGTAGCAGTATTCACTGGTTTGCTAGGGTCTGAAACAAACAAAAGCAACCTATTTGAGAAAAATATATTTTTCTTACAGGTTTGTTTGAAATAAATATTTGTAAACAACATTTTTTTTACAGAATTTAATTCATGAACAGCACAAAAATTCCCCATACCTTTCTTCCATATTCGCCAACAAAGCAGCAACATTAAAACAACATTAGCCCTGAGAGCTTGTCTACAAAAAATTGTATTTCCAGTTAAAATTTCTCAAAATTTACCCAAAGTGGATTCAGTGACTGAGATCTGAACATGTTGATAAAAGCTACTTATTACAACGTACCTGGCAATGCAATGACTGGCAGTCCTCCAGCCTCTTCTCCTGAGGAATAGGTCCTGGCTGCAGAGTCATATATCTCATCATCACTGGAACTCTCCTGGAATTAGATAAAGTAAAGTATGGTACAGTAAGAGAAAATAATATGAAGTTACGACATGGCATGGCATGGCATGGCATGATAAAGAATGGCAAAGAACTACATGGTATGGAATGCTACGGCAAGTCATAGTAAGTCATGACATGGTATGGCAAGACTTGACACAGTATGGTAAGTCATGGCATGGCATACTACAGCATGGCATAATATGTCATGGCAAATGATGGCATCGTACAGTATGGTACAGTAGAGAAAAGTACCGATTGTGATCTTGCCAGTTAAGTTAGATTATACTCTAGGCTCACCTTGGAAAGATTTCTGCCAGCTTAAAAATGGTTCAAATCATTTTTTGTTCCATTCCCATTTTTCTTTCAACATGGCCCTAAATACCCAAAATAGTAGTACATTGTACAATGTACCTGTAACAGCCTATTTCTGGATAGGGATCCCAGAGCTGGCTTTCTCTCAAGATCACTGTCACTTCCCCTCCCTCTCCTGATTGGTCTATCTCTGCTACAACTCCGCCCACTCCTGCTACTGCTGCGCCCTCTTTCCTCCCCAAGTGATGACGGAGATGCAAGGCAAATGTCAAGTAGGGCTGTTTGATCTTTTTCATCAGTATTCCTTTTTATTCTGTTAAATAAGAAATTTTAATTATTAAGCAATATATATAGAAATTCAAACTGTTCTAAGGTGGGGTTTCCCCAAAAGACAACAAAAACAAAAAAACAAACAACTTAAAAAATGCAATATCCTATAGATTCTCTTTTTACGGGACACTCTGAATCAATTAAAGTACTTTACAGGAACATGGCCCAAAGTTCATCACACCATTAAAAAGGTAAAAAACTTAACTCAATTTAAGAAAACCTAACAAGCCAAAATGCATATTTCTATATATTACAGTGACACAATAAAACTAATGGTTGTATAATGATTAAGTCAAAAATATATACTTAATATATTTTCATTAAAAAGCACTAGAGATAAGAAAGCAAATCCACTGTACCTTTCCCTGGCTCTTCCCACTCTTCTGTCCCCACTTTGCTGCCTTAGGTTGGCACTGCCTGTAAAGGTTCGAAGGACCTGCATCAGCTTGGTCTTAACACTCCCGTCATCTAGAGAAGACTCCAACTGCAGCAGTGCTGGGATACCTATAAACATAGATCATAATAGGAGCTTGGTGGTTGGATCATAAATTATAATTATGTTGCACAAGCTGAATTCTTTTATCTCACCAAGTGTGTCTTAAGCTAGTTATGACAAAAAAAAAAAAAAAAAATTCAGCTAGTGCCAAACAAATATTGTTTATATATCATACATACTTGGATGTATAATACATTTTGACTGTTTGAGCTGTATTAAGAATGTGTAAAATTTAACACACTGAGAATTATGGTGTAAATTTTATCAGAATCAAAACTTTTCTCAGATCAGAATCTGTTCAAGAGCTGAATTTTATACAATGATGCATATAATGCACATATAAACATTTAATGCATCATTAATTTATGGGTAAAAAAATGGTGACAGGTTACCCTTCAAGTCAGCAAACATCTTCTTGTTGGCTGCATTCCCATACAATAGATTATTCAGTGACAGCAAACATTTCTCTAATACTTGTTCATCTCTGGCATGGTCAGCACCAGATATATAACTTTGGCATATATCTATGAAATCATTAAAATAGGTCTCAAATATTTAATATAATCATATATTAAAATGTAGGCCTTCATATTAATTGACACAGGCCAAAATGATCTAGTTCCCATTGGTCGTGAGAAAAAAAATTATTACCGTCAGACTATACATTCTTTGAAGACCAGTTATTTCTATGAATGGTATTCACATGATTATAAAATAATTCAAGTTTTCAGGCTACAGGGCATGACAATTACATGTTACATTTCGATCAACCATTATTAATAACAAAAAGTGGCAAAATGTTTCATGGTTAACAAAACAGATGTTTCAGAGTGGTAATAAAGATATTACCAGATGTCTCAGTGACACTTCTTAAAGGTTGTGATGTGCTATAACTACCTATCAAACACTGCAAGCCTCCCAAACTTGCAACCTTTTCCCTCAGACTCTGCTGTTTTCCTAGATTAATCATGACTTCCAGAGCTTTTTCTGCTATCTTACCATCCGGCACTCTTGTGAGGGGCAGAATAACTCCCATACCCCCATCAGTGAGTACAGCGCCACCTATAGTAAAAAAAAAAAATAATAAATCACTGTGACCTTTTTTTTTTAATCCAAAGCTTTCAATTTCATGTAGAGGGATAGATGTAGACAACACCATGTTAGCAATTCAATATTTAAGCACCAAATTTTTGTTCCAGTTAATTCTTATTTAAATGGTCTTACTTTGTATTGCAGCAATAGGGAATCATAGGAATATCAAAAGGAATCAATATATTTATATCCGTTTTGTCATATAAATGACTCTGTCTAAAAGATTCATATTAATTTAAGTAATCTTAAGTTACTGAAAATTTAATATTACTATATATTAAACAAACAAACAAACAAACAAACAATCATGGTTCATTCAGAAAGTCTCTCACCTAGGACATATTTCTCCTGGCATAGATTGCACAGTGCTCCTAATGTGTTGGCAAGAAGTTGATTGCTGATAGGTGTAGGTCCAACTCCTTGACAGAAATAAAAGACTTTGTATGAATTATTTTTCAGAACCATATTTTGATAGATTCTATAATACAAAATCGACCCTCATAGAACATCAGCCTGTTAAAAATAGCTGTCTTTAAATCTCTGTAAAGAGACTCCAAATGCCTGCATTAACTACACCACTAGCCTAGGATAATAATCNGGTCCAACTCCTTGACAGAAATAAAAGACTTTGTATGAATTATTTTTCAGAACCATATTTTGATAGATTCTATAATACAAAATCGACCCTCATAGAACATCAGCCTGTTAAAAATAGCTGTCTTTAAATCTCTGTAAAGAGACTCCAAATGCCTGCATTAACTACACCACTAGCCTAGGATAATAATCCTGAATCAGTTATTTAGTATACTATCAAGCTTCTCAATGTAAATGAAACTGCATGATAAAAAATTCATTATATCTGAATTTTATATTAAAATTTTCTACAAACCTTTTAGTCTACACAGGGTTGCCTGTGGTGGGATTTTGCCCAGGTTCATCTCTTTAGTCAAGTAATACATGTCACTCCAGGGTACTTTGCTGACCACGCCATGGTCCAGGACATACACTGAACACACCTCGTCTCTCACCCTTAATATCTGCATGGAGAAAAAAAACACAGCTTATGTCTTTATATGAAAGATTCTCTTGTTGAAAAAATATTACAATTACAAATGATTTATTCAATGATACTAAAAAATAGAATTCAGCGTGAACCCCCAGGGAGTTAGGTCGATCCTAATGGATCGGTCAAGGCATGGGAATCCAGTCATACACCCCATTTCCAGAGATTAGATCGACCTACTTTAGATCGACCTAACTCCCTGGGGGTTCACGCTAAATAGCTGTCAGCCGGGCGGACACGAAAGTAATTACCCCCTTACAGCTTGTAGTAGGCGGGACGGACATTTAAGTCGGATTATCTGAAAGTAATCTAGTGAGACTCCCCGCGGGGATAGATCGATCTAAAATCTATGGGAATAGAGCCATAGTTTCATATTGAATGAGCCCTTATGTCACTGTCACTCATGTCCCCCCACCTGTCCACGGCAGTGTCCCATCCCATCCAATGTGACACACACAAACTGGCCAGGTTCTGGAGCCTTTTTCAGTTTCACCCCTTTGCTGTGTACTTGCTCTGCTATTGTCTTCTGGACTTGTTCTACTGTGCTCAGAGTGTCCTGTCCTCCCACATATGCCATGAAGTACTGAGGGCTGATAACATGGCTGACTCTGATATCTAACCAGTCATCTGTACTCTCTGGGATATCCTGAAGAAACAGGTTTATTATAGCTGTGCAGTCAAAGGGATTCACAAATTTGTGAGCTTACAATAAATGATATGATGGTAAATATGACAACAAATGTGAACACTTATTCATGTTCAACTTCATGTATTTTTGGGGAAGAGTTGAAGTCCTAATTAACATATTGTATTTCAAATCCAGAAGTTAAGCATGTACATGTAGTAGTATGTTTACATGCAATTTTAATAATAATGTTTTTTGTTATCAATCTTTCATCAAGCAATTTTACCTTTATCTCATCACCTGACACCAAATATTCTGATTGGGAAATTTTCTGATTCTGCTCTTTCTGAGTATTTAAAGGAGGCTTTATCTCTGGCCATGCAAGTCCTCGCTTTAGCATTTCCTCTTTTACTACAACATCAACGGTTTTATCAGTGGTATCGTAAAGTTCAACAACGAAAGATGATGCAGACTGAAGTATGCTGTTGGAGTCACATTTTAGGTACTGGGAAAGTATCTCCTCTTTCTCTCCATCAACAAGTGGTGATACCTTGCCAATTAGGTCTTTTTCCTTGGTAAAATTTCTTAAGAAGCTTACAGCTTCTGGATGATATGTATAAAAATACAAGTTCTGCATATCTGCTATCTGCAAAAGCAATTTGATCAGTCCGGCTTTGAGTATTTGAAACTGGTTGTATGCCTCCCCATAGGAGAGTTTACGTAACAGCAGCACCATCTGCTCCAGATACTGAAGGAGTCTTTTATGACTAGAAGATTCCAAGTCTGGCAGTCCATCTCGACATACGTGTGTGCATGTGTTCCAAATGGGCCTTAGAACTTCCTTCTTGACCACAGCCACCTACATTATGTTAAACATAGAGCTGATATAAATCATGACGAACTGAGGCAAACAAAAATTTATTGGGTATAAGGATTATATCTCACATGAAAAACAGGTCAGCAATTTGTATATATGAAATAGATTGCAAAAAAAATGTAATCACTGATATAACTGATTAAATAAGCAAACGACAGCATCTCACAATAATGTATCATTTTAAATTGCTGTGTATTAACATGGTTCCCATTATGACACACTCTACTGAAGCATACTCTTTTTAACACAAACTTGCTGTTCTGGTACCCCGTATAATTATGTTACCTTTGTATCTGGATCATTATGGCATAACAGGCTTAATAAAGCACATGCCATGGTCTTCAGTGACAACATGTAGTCCACGTTCAGCATTGTAATTAACTTCAACAATAGATTCTGTGGGACAGCCTCTGGTTTTCCAGAAGTAGAACAATACTGGATCATTTGCTGTACTAACTGAGCTAGCTTCGTCTCATTGTTCTCCTCTACGATACTGTCTGATAGAGTGACAAACGAAGCCATTGGATCCCTGTATTTTGTCAGAGCAAGCAACAGACCCAAAAGCTTACATGAGAGTAGGAATTACATGTATATGCATAACACTGACAGAGTTATGGCAGTCTGTATGTATGCAGAATCCACATACATTGTGCGCTTACTACATGGGTATATATATCCATCTGAAACGACAATCAATGACAGTATTAGCGAATGTGACAGTATGATAGTGCCAATAAATTGGTTTTCTCCAGCTTTGTATTCCAGCTAGATGGACAGTTAAAATAGGACTTCTGATGGACTATCATCAGCGAGATATCATTCACAATCCGAAAGAGATGAGAAGGCAATTTTCATATCTGTTCAAGAGCTTTCGTTAGCCGAAGATCGGGAGCAAGAGATAGTTTCAAACCCCAGCTAGAGGAGAAGGTAATTTTTGTACCTATATCTTCAGTGGGAGATCCATCACGATGCAAGCGTAATGAGAAAGCATTTTTCATATCCGTTCCAGAGACTTCGTTCGTGAAATATTTTAAGTCGGAGATCGTTCGCAATCTGTGGGAGACAAAGAGCAATTTTCATATTCATTTAAGGGAGTTCTTTCGTGAGATTCTAGGACAATTCCCCCCCCCGACTATTCCCCCTGGACAATTCCCACCCGGACGATTCCCTCCCAAGAAATATATATTTATATGTAAATATAAAGTAGAAAGTGTAAAGTATAAAACATGTCATCCATTTTATTAATATTTTTAGTGTGATAATACAACTTCATCATGAAACAAATTATTTTATAACAAATTCCCTTTTCAATGCGTACAAGTACAGGAAGATCAGCGGGAGATCGTTATTGATTATTTTAACCCTCCCCCCCCCCCCCTTGAAGTTTATTCCTTTTTCATACATTTTTTTTCATTAAATTTTTACCCCTCCTCCCCCTCATGGTACTTGAAAAAGTAGGACGCCCTGAAATGTTCAAGGAAATTACATGCACAGATGGAAATTTTGGACGTCCTACCACGCTCGGCTGTCACCTTGATTGGATAGTAAACGGTTGTCGTAAAATCGCTAAAAGATATTAAAACCCGGTGCATAAACTTGAAGTACCCTTTCCCTTTGGGAATGGTATTTAAAACCACCACTAGAGGGACGCTTAAGGCGCAGGCCCCCGATTGGTCAGCCAGCTCACGTGGTGAATTCAAAATAATTGGCAGTTAGAGCCTGGCAGCCGTTAAAGCTGGACAGCGTGTTAGGGCGCTCGAGCCCATTTTGCTTCAATTAAAATCGGCTTAAGCATAAGCGTCGAAGATTTTTGT